ACACTGTCCTGGAACTCACTGTGTAGCCCAGGCTGTTCTCCAGCTCACAGTGATCCTCATGCCTCATCCTCCCGAGTGCTGGGATTACAGGCACGTGTCACAATGCCCGTCTGTTATTGGTTTAGAAAAATACGCTTAACTGGGCAGGTGATTTAGCTCAATGGTGCTGCCACCTGCCTCGCAAGCACAAGGACCCCATTTCGGTCCCTGGTACCAAAAAAATCCAAAAAACTCTTAACTATGGTTGGTTGAAATGCTAATAATAATTAAAACAAGACTTCTAGCCATTCTTTTTAAATCTGCAATGACATTTTTTTCTTATCCAGAAGCGTGGTTCTAGAATTTATGCATCAAGGAAGAATCTATAGTTATGGGTAAGTAGGAGCTGAGACTAGTTGAAAAAATTTCAGCTTATGCCTCTACATGTTCTTTTCAGGGCAAATTCTCATTGAATAGACTTAATTATAATTAGCTGCATTATTTTAAATGTTATTTTTATATCTTAATTTTTTCTGAGTACTTATATTTTTTTAAGAATGTATATGATACAAATCTGTTTTAGATATCTGACTTCCATTTTGGCGTTGAACTATAATGTCCATAAGATCTTATAAAGTATACCAAATTTTTATTTGTCCCAGTAAAGTACATAACATCCCAATTAGAGATCTTATCTTGACTATGAAAATTTTCTAGGAGTATTAACACAATAGTTTAATAAAGTCCTTTAAATAATGAAAAAAAAGAATAAGATAAGACTACAAGAGCAAGAAGCAATTTAAATATGTTAAGGGACCATTTTCATCTTCAGAATTAAGGATTATTTTAATCTTACATCATTGCCTTTTCTCTTTTTCTTTCCTTTTTAGTTTTATTTTAGGATTCCCTATTTTTAATGTTCATACAGAGATTTCTTTAACTGAAATACCAAATAGTTTCTCTGGTGTGAAAAACTATAATAGTACACAGGATCCTAATGAGATAATTAATAATGTGAAATAGGAAGTAAAGGGCTAAAGGTGTAGGGAAAGTGGGAAGGGTGGGGGAAAGGTAATAAGGGAGAGGAAAAATATGAGTAATTGAAAAAATGGAAATAAAGTGTTTGTAAATGGGGAGGGGAGGAGGGGGTGAAGGGAGGGCAGGGACAAGGGCATAAAAAGAGAATCAAGATCTATCATGTAAAAGTACAGGATCCCAATAATGAATGTAACTGTATTGTATACCTAGATTGTACCAATAAACTCAATAAAAAGAAAAAAAAATAAAGTCCTTTAAATATTTTATGGTTTAAAGCTGATACTTTAGCTTTTCCTTCTTATTTTTGGTATTCTTTTTAGAAAGTAACCCTAAAATCACAACTGTGCTCTTAACTTTTTCATAGCTTATATTTTCCTTCTTTCTCACCTCTTCTAATGTTGTATATTTGTTACAGAAAAGTTTTCTTCAAAAATGGATGGAATGTCTTCAGAAGCTAATGAAGAGAAGTAAGTTCATTCAGTGCAGCTGAATTATACTCACAAGTCTAATCCCAGCACTCAGGAAGCTGAGGCAGGAGGATCTTGAGTTCCAGGCCTTCCTGGACTACAGAGTTTCTGTATAAAAAAGAAAAAATAAGTATTCTCTTAGAGAAAATACTTTCCCAACTAGTAAGACTTATCAATAACTTCTGAAATCTTTCTTCATTGTGTTCCAGGGGGAAAGAAGTAAATATTACAAAGTGACATCTTCCTGTGTCATTTTTGTATAAATTCATTTGGAGTCAAAACTGAGAGAAACTTTAAACACTACCTGCCATCTCTTTAAAGATGAGAAAACTAAAGCCCAGGGAAATGAAATGATTTGTTTAAAACTGGTATCACCAATTGGTGACCTGTTTGCAGACTGCAAAAAATATTTTGATCTATACACATTTATTAATTTTTGAACTAATTTCCAAAATTATAGATCTCAAGATTTCATACAGTAATTAGATTTTCATCTTCTCTTCAAAACTTCATTTTAGCTGGGTGTGGTGGTGCATGGCTATAATACTAGCACTTGGGAACCTGAGGTGGGAGGATCATGGTGAGTTCAAGGCCAGCCTATACTACAAAGCGAGACCCTGTCTCAAAAAACAAAAAGAAAAAGTCAATTTTAGCCATACTGGTCTATTATTACTCTTGGAATAGCTCACTAGAGCAAACTAATGACTGTGACCTTTAGTTTGGGCAGGAATTCTCCAGGTTATTAAAGTCACCATACTATTTGTCTTTCTTACACCTAACAAAGTATCTCACCTTGTAGACATTTGTATTTTCAAAACCTGGTCTAAAAATCACAGTCATAAGACCAGAGCTAGGAACTCTTGATTTGTAACTCATTTATCTTATACCTCCCTAGATATGGTAAATTATGTTGTATAGGTTGTTATAGAAAATAGAGTTGCCTGGCATTACCAGAAATTCCTGAATGAATGGGAGGGTTACTATCCTCTCACTTTGAACCAGAGCCCCTGGCTGCAGCAGCTAGAGGAAGAAGTGAGGAGAGAGTAGGTTAAAAATAGGGGAAAAAAACAAAACAAAAATGTAGGCAGGGCCTGGGATTTAGCTCAGTGGTGCCGCCACCTGCCTTGCAAGCACAAGGACCCCAGTTTGATCCCCTGTACCAAAAAACACCGAAAAATGTAGGCACATATAATTGCATATCTTTGAAGCAAGGTTAGAGATTAAAAAAGAGGGACTAACAGCTGTGCAGTATAGTTTAGAACTAGTGGAGGACCAAAATGAGTTGCAGAATGAAATGATGACTGTGAGAATTATGAACAAGGAAAAATAGGCTCTTCAAGCTAGGTGTGGTGGCATATGCCTGTAATCCCAACACTTGGGAGGCTGAGGCAGGAGGACCATTGTGAGTTGTAACCTGGGCTACATAGTGAGTTCCAGGTCAGTCTCAACTACATAGTGAGACCCTGTCTCAAAAAACCAAAAAAAGGGCCCAGGGATTTGGCTCAGGGGTTCTCCCCCCTGCCTTGCAAGCACAAGGGCCTGAGCTCGATCCCTGGTACCAAAAAAAAAAAGAGTTGAATGTTAAGCTGGGCATAGTGGTGCATGCCTGTAATCCCAGCACTTGGGAGGCTGAGGCAGGAGGCCCATTGTGAGTTGTAGCCTGGGCTACATAGTGAGTTCCAGGTCAGTCTCAACTACATAGTGAGACCCTGTCTCAAAAAACCAAAAAAAGGGCCCAGGGATTTGGCTCAGGGGTTCTCCCCCCTGCCTTGCAAGCACAAGGGCCTGAGCTCGATCCCTGGTACCAAAAAAAAAAAGAGTTGAATGTTAAGCTGGGCATAGTGGTGCATGCCTGTAATCCCAGCACTTGGGAGGCTGAGGCAGGAGGCCCATTGTGAGTTGTAGCCTGGGCTACATAGTGAGTTCCAGGTCAGTCTCAACTACATAGTGAGACCCTGTCTCAAAAAACCAAAAAAAAAAAAAAAAAAAAAAAAAAAAAAAAAAAAAAGCAGAGAAAATACAAATAATATCTGAATATCTGAGCATGTACATAAAAGCATATCTTCAGAGATATTGCTTTTCAGATTGAGCTGACTGAAATGGAAAGTATGAAGACCCTCCTTAGAGAAGTGAATGAACTACAGTACAGTTAGAAGCAACTAGAAAGTTTGAGTAGCAATAGTAACAATGCATCAGGTAGACCGGCTTAAGGAAGAGAAAGAAGAGCAGGAAAAAGATGCTGTTTCTTACTATAATTCCTTGAAAGCTTGAGTAGAAAAGCAAGACCTTCAGGTGCAGTTGAGTCACTCACTCTAGCAGGCATTGGATCCAAGTAGTAAAAGCAATCCTTTGCAGAAGTGGAAAATGGGAGGGCAGCTAGCCTATTGCTATGATAGTCAAGTACATGTCAGTCACCAAAGAAGCAAAATGCATTCAAGAGAGAATGAAGCTACATATTGCCACACTGCTGTAAATGAAAGGCTCTCAAACTGAATTTGTGTGGCAGAAATGGTTGTTTGCCATGTTGGAGCAGAAGAGTGGTGAAATAAAACATCTTTTAGGTGAAATTAGAAATCTGGAGAAATTTAAGAATTTGTACAAAGTCTCAGGCTTCCATACCAGCCAACTCTGGTGCTCTGGAATACAATACCTACTATAGAAAATTACTTCAGCTAAAATTTGATAATTTAAAGAAAATAAAAGCATCAAAAGTGAATTGTCAGGCCAGGCGTGGTGGTGCACACTTGTAATCCCAGCACTGTGGAGGCTGAGGCAGAGGCAGGAGGATCACTGTGAGTTCAAGACCAGCCTTGGCTACATAGTGAGTTCCAGGTCAGTCTCAACTGCATAGTGAGACCCTGTCTCAAAAAACAAAAAACAAACAAACAAACAAACAAAAAAATTGTCCATACAGTGAATGAAAACATTATTTGAGAGCCAGCAGGCCTTGGTTATTTTTTTATTTTATTTTTTTTATTTTTTGCGAGACAGGGTCTCACTGGGTAGTTCAGGCTGGCCTTAGACTCACTGTGTAACCTGCTGGCCTTGAACTCACAGCGATTGTCCTGCCTCAACCTCCTAAGTGATGGGATTACAGGTATGTACCACCATGCCCAGCAGGCCTTGGTTATTGAATGAAAAGTTTTTGCAAATGAAAGAGTTCTCCAGCTTTCAGAAAGTGAAAATATAAAAATTAGAGCTAAATTGGATGAATTAAAGCTAAAGTATGAACTCGGAGAGGAAACTGAAGTAACCGTGTTATCAGATAGTCTACTTCTAAAAGTGGCTTGCCGACTATACATTACTGGGTTATGGGTTGCTCCCCTCTCCTTCTGGAGTTAGATTCCAGGTTCTTCTCATCTTGAACAAAATGAGTGAAAAAGCAGTGGCAAGATTTATTTAAGAAAGCAGAAGTGAAAAATGAGGGAGGAAACTGGTTTTGTAATGCAAGATTGGCATGGGTAAAAAAAAAAAAAAAGAGGGTAAGAATAAAGATATAAGTACACACTGTATCTGGGAAACATAGCAAAAGCTAACATGGAAAGTTACCATAGCAAACTCTTCATGGTTCCAACGTGTCCCTTTATGCTGTCCAAATCTCGAGGAAATCCACCAGAGCTTCTATATACAGGCCCTGAGAGGCAGTGTGGGGATCCCATGCCTCCAGCTGATTTAAGGTCTAAGCATCCTTTGAAAGCCTGCTCAAGTTCTGGTGAAAAGTCCAGGTGCAGGGCTTTGGATCTTGTAGTTAATAGGTCATACCTACTTTCCTAGACAGCTTTGCCATGCTTTCCTATCTCATCTGTATTCAGAAAGAGGTGTGACCCCTGAAGATGTGAGGGCCAAGCTGGGCATGGTAGCTGGCACCCGTAATCCCAGCACTCAGGAAGCTTAGGCAGGAGGATCACTGCAAGTTTGAGGCCCACCTGGGCTATGTATTGAGTTCAGGTATACCTGAACTACATAGCAAGAGCTTGTTTCACCCTCTCCCTGCCATATGTGCCAGTAATTCTGAAGGGGAAGAAGTTTCTAGATTCCCACCTCAGAAACAGCAGGCACAATCCTGTCCTAACAATTTAGAAGATAGCAACTTCCATTTAGAAAAATCACTCTCTACAAAAGCTCACAGCCACTTTCTTTCCTCACAAAAATCTGCCATTAGATATGCAGCCAAAGACAGAAAAATGTGTGAAGCTCATAGATGTTCCAGCTAATACAAAGCCTTAAGTGAAAGAAGTGGAAATGCCTCCACTCTTCCAGGTTAGTTACTGAATCAAAGCTTCAGACAGAAGTTAAATAAGGGAAAGAAACTAGAAGCAAATTGGAAAAGGAACCTTGTAAGAAAAAACACCCTATTCCAGTGGAGTTGAACCTGTGACGTGTTTGCCTCAACACCCTCTCTGTTGACTGCAAACCAAGTTGCCTCAGCAGTAGAGCATTGGATAAACTGTATTCAGGTTTAATTGCAGTGCTGACACTTTCTCAGTCTCTAAAAGTTTCACTATCACTGCATTCTATACACATCCTCCAAATCAACTGCAGAGACCCAGTGCCCTCAACCTTAAAGACTTTTCTTTGATAAAATGAACTACTACTTTCTCAAAGGCCACGGTGAGTTATGATTGTCATTATCCAAAGGATACCACTTTGTAGATTATTGGCACCTACCCATTCTTCCTAAGATCAGATGTTTTCATACTTTTTTGACAAAAGACTCAAAATTTGCCAGGCATGGTGACATATGCCTGTAATCCTAGCACAGGGAGGCTGAGGCAGCAGGGAGGATTGCCTGGAGTTTCAGGCCAGCCTGGGCTACATAGTTCAAGGCCAGCCTGAACGACATAGTGAGACCCTGTCTCAAACAACAAACACAAAAATAGTCTTAAAACTTGGTTGTTTTTAACCTAGAAAATTTCTTAATTGTAACCCTTCATGGAGCTTCTGTGAAGCATAGTAAATAAACTGCTAACAAAGGGAAAATGTTATAATTAATATAAATCTATTGGCTGCTTTGTTTTTGGATTTTTTTGGGGATAGGATCTTGTTATGTAGTTAAGGATGGCCTAGAACTCACTATGTAGCCTAGGCTCAGCCTCTCAAGAGCTGGGATTATAGGCATGTACCACCATGCCTGGCCTGTATCTGGACTTTTAAATTGATGTGAACACTTATGTAACCTCTTCCAAGGCATATATTTGAAAAGAACACTGTGCGCTGGGGATGTAGCTCAGTGGTGCTGTGACTGCCTGGCTAACATGAGGTCCTGAGTTTGATCCCCAGTACCACAAAAAAGAGAGAGCAGTGAAATAATTATATATAGTTTTTTTGTTTTGTTTTGTTTTTTGGTACCAGGGATTGAACTCAGGCCCTTGTGCTTGTGAGGCAGGTGCCGGAACCACTGAGCTAAATCCCCAGCCCTATATATAGTTTTTATTGTTAGTTTTTTACTGTTATAAAAATAGGAAATCTGGTTTAAAAATATGTTTTGTTGTTTTTTGGTATCAGGGATCAAACTCGGGACCTTATGTAAGGCAGGTGGTGGAACCACTGAGCTAAATCCAGACCCTGTTTTGTTTTGTTTTTAGGTGGTACTGGGGATCAAACTCAGGGCCTTGTGGGGCCAGGGATTTAGCTCAGTGGTTTCACTGCTTGCCCTGCAAGCACAAGGGCCTGAGTTCCATCCCCAGCACCAAAAAAACAAAACAAAACAACAACAACAACAAAAAACCCCTCAGGGCCTTGCACTTGTGAGGCAGGCAGGGCACCACTGAGCTAAATCCCTGGTCCTAAAAATATGTATTGTTACAAGACTTTGGCCAAACATGGTGCATGCCTGTAATTCCAGCACTCAGGAGGCTCAGGCAGGAGAATCACCATGAATTCAAGGCCAGCCTGGGCTACATAGTGAGTTCAAGGCCAGTTTGAACTACACAGAGATAGCCTGTCTCAATAAGTAAGTAAATAAATAAATAAAAACAAGACTTTGTCCTTATTTAAAGCACCTATTTTTGTATTCATACACATGATTTAGATTTTATGAGTCTAGCATATGAAAAAATTTTGAAATACAAAATAAAATTGCAGTAATTTCTTTTTTAAAAGCCTGTCTTGTCCTTTTTTTTGAGATAAATCTCACTTTGTAGCTCAGGCTAGCTTTGAATTCATTATGTAGCCTAGGTTGGCTGTGAACTCATAGTGATCCTCCTGCCTCAGCCTCCTGACTGCTGGAATTTTAAGTGTGCACCACCACATCCAGCCCCGTATATTTTAAAACACTGAATTTGCCTGGTAGGGTGGTATACACTTGTAATCGCAGCTACTTGGGAAGTTGTGATAAGAGGATCACAAGTTTGAGGCCAGCCTGGCAATTTAGCAAGACATTGTCTCAAAATAAAATTAAAAACAGACCTGGGGTTATAAATCAGTGGTGGTACTCTTGCCTAGCATGTGCAGGACTCTGAGTTTAATCCCTACAACTGCAAAATCAAAACTAAATGAAATATATAACATTGAATTCCTAAATGCTGAACGTGAAATCTTATACTGGAATATAAATTGTGCTGGCCAGAGTGCTAAATGAAAGTGATGCCAGCTGGCCATAGCAGGGAAGGGGCGATGTAATGATGGCTTTTGGAAATTCAGTCTTTTACCTGTGTATATGTAGTTCTTTTTTCCTTTTTTCAGTGATAATACAGAGAGACCTGTTAGAAGACGGCATTCCTCAGTAAGAAACGTTTACATTAATAATTCTTACTTTTTGTTGAATGATGCATGTATACCACAGTAAATTTCACTGTCTTCCGCTGCAAACCCTGCTGTCTTCCTATTGTCCTCTGGATAAAGACTTAAATATTTACCCTTGTTACACAATTCTGTAAATATGTAAATTCTGTAAAAATTCATATGTTATGAATTTTAGTATAATTCAATGAATCTTATACTATTTAAATGATATTTTAATAAAGCAGTTTAAAACTATATTTAACCTACTGTACTAAACTGTTGCAAGACACAAAAGTCCAATGAAACTGATTTAAGCATAAGATGTACATTGGGTTATAAGACTGAAAAATCATAGAGACATATATCTGTGGACACCACTTTCTGATTAGGGGTTCTAACAATGTTACCCTACTTTCTTTTCCTATTTCCTCTGGGCAATCTCTGTTGGCAAACAGACCCTCTCCCTGTGATTACTGTGGTACAGTACATCTAGCTTTCCCTATTTCCAAGTTCATGTCCTGTCTGAAGCACAGTATCTATTTCCTCAAGATTAAAAAAAAAAAAAAAAAGGTTCAGAATTGAATCCTGTTGGTGGTTCTAGAGAGGGCTACTTTCTGTGCCCTAGAATTCGTGGAAGCTTAACATAGACCAGATGGAATAAGAGGGAGCAAAATAATCAGGGAGAGGACCAGGAACAGTCAGTTATTTAAATCTGCCACAAAAATACTGAGCAATATTACTTTGAGGAATTTCAGAGATTTTCATAGAAAGTTGTGCTTTTTACTCATAGGATAACTTGAAAGACTGATTATTAACAGATATGCCAGATTTTCTTGAATTATCCTTAATTATTACTTCTAGATTTTGAAACCCCCAAGGAGTCCTCTTCAGGACCTCAAAAGTGGGAATGAAACAGTTCAAGTAAGTAATGCACATGCTTTACAGATTACTATTTTCAAAGTGGTTTTTTTTTCCTTGTTACCAGGGATCAAACTTGGGACCTTGCCTTTGCAAGGAAGGTACAGTGCCACTGTAAATCTCAAGACCCTCAAAGTGTTATTTTTAATTGGGAATTTATTAGCTATATAAAAACAACATCATAAATAATTCCTGTCTGAATGTGTGCAACTAAGTATCCCATGGCCTTCAGGTCAAAATTCAAACACTTATAGGTCAGGAATGTAGTTTAGTAGTCAAATGGTTGCCTAGCATAAGCAAAGTTCTGAGTTGATCCCTAGCATTGGAAAAAAAAAATATCCAAAAATTTAACGATGCTGCTGTTAATAATCTTTAAACCCTATTTTTTCAGCCTTTTTTTCTTGCCCTTCTCACACATGTATCCTACCATTCAGAGTTCTTTACTTTTCTGCAAATAAGACATATGCTTCATAACCTACAAGTACTTACACATGCTGTGATCTCTGTAGAGATGGCCAGTCCCTTGTTCCTTTTACTCCTTTTTTTCTTTTTTCTTTCTTTTGGTATTGGGATTTGGACCAAAGGCTTTTACAGTGAGCTACATCTCCATACTTTTTTAAAATTTTAAGACAGTGTCACCAAATTGCGCAGACTGGGCTTGAATTTGTGATCCTCCTGCCTCAGCCACTATGCTGGGTTTACAGGTGTGTGCCACCACACCTGGTTTAATAGGTTTTCAAACATATGAAAGGCAGAAAGGATTTTATAATGAATACTCATCTATTCATCAACTAAATTCTACAATTAACATTTTATGTTATGTACATTTTACAATTTAAAAAATTTTTTTAATCTTTGTTATAATAAGGTCATTATAATAGGTAACATTTTTGTCCCTTGTCTTTCTTGACATGTTATTTATATCAGTATACTTATTTTAACTCATTGAAAATTATAAACCAGGCATGGTGGTGCATGCCTGTAATCCCAGCACTCAGGAGGCTGAGGCAGGAGGATCACTGTGAGTTCGAGACCAGCCTGGGCTACATAATGAGTTCCAGGTCAGTCTCAACTACATAGTGAGATCCTATCTCAAAAAAAAAAAACCAAAAAACAAAAAACAAAAAAAAGAAAATTATATTCATGTTCATTAAGTACTCTAAATAGGGATATTTTGGTAAATCATATCAAATTAATTCAGAATAACACTTGATTTCTATATCTGGTACTCTGAGGAACTAATTCACTGGTTTTATTAAGAATCATACCATATATTCTCTCCACCTAGGAATCCAGTGCTTTGAGAAATAAGAAAAGCTCTCGCCGAGTCAGCTTTGCAAATACTATAAAGTAAGTTCAAAGGAGAAATAGTTAAAATGTTACAGGTAGTGCTTTTTTGTTGTCAAGTCAAATATTTTGGCACTGATTTGAATAAGCTGTTTGGAGTAAAGAAACATTAGAGAATTGTTATTTAAAAGATTGTTTACCATTATGTATGTATGTTTGTTTGTTTATTTGAAACAGGGTCTTGCTTTGCAGGTCAGACTGGCCTTGAACTCATTGTGTAGCCTAGGCTGGCCTTGAATTTGCAGTGATCCTCCTGCCTCAGCCTCCCAGGTGCAGGGATCACGGGCATATGATACCACACCTGGCCTGACCATTATGTATAAAAGAGAAACATTGAGAACATTTTGTTAAAATCAGAAATAAAACAATGCTATCTACTATCATCATTGTTATTTAACATTGTATTTGAGGTGCTAACTAACAAAGATAAGGAAGTTGGGGTTATAAAAATGAGAAATACAGAAGGACCTGAGTTCACTCCCCAGTACGAAAAAAAAAAAATCAATCAAAAGTGAGAAATATAGAGTAAACCTATTACCTTTTTCAGAATAAATGATTGTATATTAGGAAATATAAACTGGAATATCACAGATAGGTAGCATGATACAAAATTTTTAATGGAAATCAGTAATATTTCTTATATTGAACTAACCAAATGGAACATTGCTATTATCTTTACTTTTTTCTTTTATATTTTGTTGCTATTTATTGTAATTCTTTTTTTTTTTTGTATCAGGGATCGAACTTGGGTCCTTCCGCTTGCGAGGCGGCAGCACCACTAAGCTAAATCCCCAGTCCTCTTTCTTCTTCCTCTTCTTTATGGTGCTGGGGATCAGATTCAAGGCAAGCACTCTATCACAGAGCTACATACCCAGCCTTACTGTATTTATTAATTTATTTTGGCAGGCCTTGCTATTTGGGTCAGGCTGGCCTTGAACTCACTCTGTAGCTCAGGCTGGCCTCAAACTTCCACATTTTCTTGCTTCAGCCTCTTGAGTGTTGGGATTACAAGCATGTGCCACCATATCCAACTATAGTAGTTATTTTATGTAGTGGTTTCATGTTTGCTTTCTTTTTTGTTGTTTTTGTTTGTTTGTTTTTTTGAGACAGGGTCTCACTATGTAGTTCAGACTGCTCTGGAACTCACTGTGTAGCCCCAGGCTGGTCTCGAACTCACAGCATCCTCCTGCCTCAGCCTCCCAAGTGCTGGGATTACAGGAGTGCACCACCACGCCCGGCTTCATGTTTGTTTTCTTGATGTTCAACAGTGTATTTTTATTTCTTCTTTGATTAAAGAAGAAGCAAAATTGTTTAATAGTGAATTTAAATATTTTTAGGTATTAGGGGCATTTTATTATTAATTTTTAGTTATGTCATAGCCAGAGAATGTTAATCTATATTATTTTGATTTCTATTGAAATTTTCTGTGTATTTTTGTATAGAATAAATTTTTGTAAATGATTCTTAGGTACTTGAAAAGAAGATATACAGCCAGATGTGGTGGCACATGCTTATAATCCCAACACTTGGAAGCCTAAGGCAGAAGAATAAGAGTTTGAGGCTAGACTGGGCTACATAGGGAGTTCCAGGCCAGCCTGAACAAAAAAGGGTGAGACCCCTTCTAACAAAAAAGAGAAGTTATAGGGGCTGAGAATGTAGCTCAGTGGTGCCACACCTGCCTCACAAGTGCAAGAGCCTGAGTTTGATACACCATAACAAAAAATAAGATATAGTTTGTGCTTTCAGTAAGTAGTTTGATACACATAATTAAATTGTGAATGTGTCTTCTATAATCTATAATTGTTTTAGTTTCTCAATTTTAAGAGAGGATATTTCATTGTTAGTGTATTTCACTTTGTATTTCCAATAGTTTTTTTTTTTTAATGATTATTGATGCTGTGTTGTTTGGTATACAGTCATCACTATTATATCTTTTTTTTCTCATTGAGTTTATTGGTACATTTTAGGTGTACAGTACAGTTACATTCATCGTTGGGATCTTGTACCTTTACATGACAGATCTTGGTTCTCATTTTTTGAAATTGTACTTTTCAGTATTACAAAATACTTCTCTTTGCTTTGTCTATTGCCATTTTTTTTTCTTTTTAAAATTTTGGTGCCAGGGATCAAACTCAGGACCTTGTGCTTGCTTACAAGACAGGTGCAGCGCCACTGAGTTTAAATCCCCGGCACTGTCTATTGCCTTTTGACCCAAATGGGCTGGGGATATAACTCAGTGGTAGAGCATTTACCATATACAAGGCCCTGACTAAGTCTCCAGTGCTACTCCACCCTTCTAAATCTGTGTACAGTATGTGTGTGCAAGATTTCTGTATCTGCTATATTTTTGTTGGGCAGACTACCTAACAGACTTTTTTTTTTTTTGGTACCCGGGATCGAACTTGGGTCCTTGCGCTTGTGAGGCAGGTGGCAGAACCAGTGAGCTAAATCCCAAGCCCTAGTTTTAGTTTTTTGAAGACTCACCATACTGATTTCCACAGTGGTAATATCAGTTTGCACTCTCACCAACAATGGAGAAGGGTTACTTTTTCCCCACAGCCTTGCCAGCGTTTTTTGTTGGTTGATTTCTTGATGATACCCATACTTTTTGGAGTGAGGTGGAATCTCCATGTTGTTTAAATTTGTGTTTCTTGAATGACCAGCGATGTTGAGCATTTTTTCATATATTTATTTGCTGTTGGCACTTCTTCATTAGAGAAATGTCTACTCACTCAGATGCCCATTTTTTGATTGGGTCTTTAAATTTGGGGGATCTGGTTTTTTTTTCAGTTCTTTATATATTCTCGGTGTTAGTCTTTTGTCTAAGAACAGCTGGTAAAATTTTTTTCCCATTCTGTGGGATGTCTCTTCACTCTGTTGGTGGTTTCTTTTGCTATGTAAAAGGTTTTTAATTTAATGTGATCCTAGTTGTTGATTCTTTGTGCTATTTCCTGTGGAATTCTGGGTTTTGTTCATAAGATCTTTTTCTATATCAATGTCTTCAAGAGTTTTACTTACTCCATCTTCCAGCTGATTGAGAGTTTCTGTTTTTATATTTAGATCTTTGATCCATTTTTATTTTAGTTTAATGCATGGTGGGAGATACGAGTTTAGGTTCAATTGTTGGCCTATGGAAAGACAGCTTTCCCAGCACCATTAAAAAGGCTTTCTTCCAGAGAAGATGTTTGGCCCTTTGTCAAAGATTATGTCAGTGAGTATACTTGCAGTAGTTTTTGCTCTCCTGTTTTGTTCCACTGATCATTGAGTCTTTTTTTCTGCCAATACCATGCTATTTTTATTATGGTAGCTTTGTACTATAACTTCAAATCAGGGTTTGTGAGGCTCCCTGCCTTGCCCTTGTTGCTCAGAATTGCTTTTGCTATTTTGAGTTTCTTCTGGTTCCTTATGAATTTTAGGATTATTTTTTCCAGTTCTGTGGGTATGCTATTGGTATTTTGATTGGGATTGCATTAAATCTGTATAGCAATTTTGGAAGTATGGTCATTTTCACTATATTGAGCCTGCCTATCCAAGAACAAGGGATATCTTTCCATTTTCTGATATCCTCTTAAGTCTCATTTTTCTACATGCTTTTGGGAAATGTGTTATTTCTCTAATTTCTTTCAGTGAGTTTGTTATTTCTGTACAGAAAGGCTATTAATATAATAGATCAGTGTTGACTTTTATCCTGCTGTACCCCTAATTCTAGGAGTCTTTAAGTGGAGTTTTTGGGATCTTCTATGTAGAGTATTGTCATTAGCAAATAATGATTATTTAACTTCTTCCTTTCCTGTCCATATTCCTTTTATTTTTTCTCTTGTCTAATTGTTCTGGGTAATGTTTCTACAACTATATTGAATAGGAGTGGTGATAGTGGGCATTGTTAGCTTGTTCTTGATTTTAGAGTGAAAGTTTTCAGTTTTTGACCATTTATTATGATGTTGGCTGTTGATTTATCATAGATAGCATTATCAGATAGAGATAAAGACCTTCTGTGAAGTTTTTATCATGAATGTGTATTGGACTTTGTGAAATGCTTTTTCTTCATCTATTGAGATGATCATGCCATTTTTGTCCTTGTTTCTGTTAATGTGGTGTATTACATTTATTTATTTGCATATTTTCAACCATCCTGCATCCCTGGGATGAATCCTAGTTGGTCATGGTATATGGTCTTCTTGATGATTTCCTGCATTCTGTTTGCCAGTATCTTATTGAGGATTTGTGCATCTATGTTCATTAAGGAGATTGGCCTGTAGTTCTCTTTTTTGATTGGATCCTTCTCTGGTTTTGGTATCAGGTTAGTGCTTGCTTCCAGGAATGACTTTGAGAGTATCGTTTTCCTTTCAGTTTTTTTAAAGAATTTGAGGATTAGTGCATTAGATCTTCTCTGAAGTTCTTGGAGAATTCAGCAATAAACCTGGACTTTTCTTTTTGGTAGTTTTTGTTTTTTTTAACAGGCTTTTCAATTTCATGAACTGATGTGGCATTATTTAAAGATATCTTTTGATTTGATTTTGGTAATTCATAGTCTGGGAATATGTCCATTTCTTTTGAGTTTTCCATCTTATTAGAGTATAAGATCTCAAAGAAGGTACTGATTTTCTGGATTTTTGCAGGTCCTTTTGTGATTTCACCCTATTCACTTCTAATTGTATGGATTTGGGATTTTTCTTTCCTTCTTTTTTTTTTTTTTTGGTACCAGGGACTAAACTCAGGACCTTAAGCTAGAGAGGCAGATGCGGTACCACTGAACTAAATCCCTGGCCCAATAACTTTTCTAATTTTCTGTTTCCTTTACTGTACTTTCCAAAAGTACTTACTTACTTTTTTTTTTTTTTTTTTTGGTACAGGGATCAAACTCTGGACCTTGCACTTGTGAGAAATTTACTCTTATTTACTTCCAATTTTGCTTTCATTCTTTTAATGATTATATTTTTTCTTTGGCTTCTTTCATGAGATTAACCAGTGTTTCATTTCCTGTTGTGTCCTGTGTTTCTGCT